ACACTCACTCCCACGCGGCTCCCTCCCGCTGCACACACACACACAGGGCGCCCAGGTAGCCTCCAGCGCAGTCGGGGCAAGTGTCACTCTCACTCACACTCACTCACACTCACTCACACTCACTCACTCACACTCACTCACACTCACTCTCACTCACTCACACTCCCTCCCGCTGCACACACACACACAGGGCGCCCAGGTAGCCTCCAGCACACTGTCGGGGCAAGTGTCACTCACACTCCCTCTCACTCCCTCCACTCACACTCACTCACTCACACTCACACTCACTCACACTCACTCTCACTCACTCACACTCCCTCCCGCTGCACACACACACACAGGGCGCCCAGGTAGCCTCCAGCACACTGTCGGGGCAAGTGCCACTCTCACTCCCTCTCACTCCCTCCACTCACACTCACTCACTCACACTCACTCACTCTCACTCTCACTCACTCACACTCCCTCCCGCTGCACACGCACACACAGGGCGCCCAGGTAGCCTCCAGCGCAGTCGGGGCAAGTGTCACTCTCACTCCCTCTCACTCCCTCCACTCACACTCACTCACTCACACTCACACTCACTCACACTCACTCTCACTCACTCACACTCCCTCGCTCTCACTCACACTCACTCACACTCACTCACACTCCCTCCCGCTGCACACACACACACAGGGCGCCCAGGTAGCCTCCAGCGCAGTCGGGGCAAGTGTCACTCTCACTCCCTCTCACTCCCTCCACTCACACTCACTCACTCACACTCACACTCACTCACACTCACTCTCACTCACTCACACTCCCTCGCTCTCACTCACACTCACTCACACTCCCTCCCGCTGCACACACACACACAGGGCGCCCAGGTAGCCTCCAGCGCAGTCGGGGCAAGTGTCACTCACACTCACTCACACTCACACTCACTCACTCGCTCACACTCACACTCCCTCCACTCTCACTCCCTCGCTCTCACTCACACTCACTCACACTCACTCACACTCACTCCCTCACACTCACTCACACTCACTCTCACTCACTCTCACTCCCACTCACTCACACTCCCTCCACTCACACTCACTCTCACTCCCTCGCTCGCTCTCACTCACACTCCCTCTCACTCCCTCCCGCTGCACACACACACACAGGGCGCCCAGGTAGCCTACAGCGCAGTCGGGGCAAGTGTCACTCACACTCCCTCTCACTCCCTCGCTCTCACTCACACTCACTCACTCACTCACACTCCCTCGCTCACACTCACTCACACTCACTCACACTCCCTCCCGCTGCACACGCACACACAGGGCGCCCAGGTAGCCTCCAGCGCAGTCGGGGCAAGTGTCACTCTCACTCCCTCGCTCTCACTCACTCACACTCACACTCATTCACTCACACTCCCTCTCACTCCCTCGCTCTCACTCACACTCACTCCCTCGCTCTCACTCACTCACACTCCCTCGCTCGCTCTCACTCACACTCACTCCCTCACACTCCCTCACACTCCCTCGCTCTCTCTCACACTCACTCACACTCACTCACTCACACTCCCTCACACTCACTCACACTCCCTCCCGCTGCACACGCACACACAGGGCGCCCAGGTAGCCTCCAGCGCACTGTCGGGGCAAGTGTCACTCACACTCCCTCACACTCACTCACACTCACACTCATTCACTCACACTCATTCACTCACACTCCCTCTCACTCCCTCTCACTCCCTCTGACTCCCTCGCTCTCACTCACACTCACTCACACTCACTCACTCACTCTCACTCCCTCGCTCACTCACACTCACTCCCTCACACTCACTCACACTCCCTCCACTCACACTCCCTCACACTCACTCACACTCACTCACTCACACTCACTCACACTCACTCACACTCCCTCCCGCTGCACACGCACACACAGGGCGCCCAGGTAGCCTCCAGCGCACTGTCGGGGCAAGTGTCACTCTCACTCACTCTCACTCACTCACTCACACTCACTCTCACTCCCTCGCTCTCACTCACACTCACTCACACTCCCTCACACTCCCTCACACTCCCTCCACTCACACTCCCTCACACTCACTCACACTCACACTCCCTCACACTCCCTCCACTCACACTCCCTCACACTCACTCACACTCGCTCACACTCCCTCACACTCACTCACACTCACACTCACTCACACTCCCTCCCGCTGCACACGCACACAAAGGGCGCCCAGGTAGCCTCCAGCGCACTGTCGGGGCAAGTGCCGGCGGCACTCCCTCGTACTCCCTCGCTCTCACTCACACTCACACCCACACTCCCTCTCACTCCCTCACACTCCCTCCCTCACACTCCCTCCCCTCACACTCCCTCCCCTCACACTCCCTCCCCTCACACTCCCTCCCCTCACACTCCCTCCCCTCACACTCCCTCACGCTCCCTCACACTCCCTCACACTCCCTCACGCTCCCTCCCCTCGCACTCCCTCACGCTCCCTCCCCTCGCACTCCCTCACACTCCCTCCCCTCGCACTCCCTCCCACTCCCTCACACTCCCTCACACTCCCTCCCCTCACACTCCCTCCCCTCACACTCCCTCCCCTCGCACTCCCTCACACTCCCTCACACTCCCTCCCCTCATGCTCCCTCACACTCCCTCACACTCCCTCACACTCCCTCACACTCCCTCACACTCCCTCCCCTCACGCTCTCTCACACTCCCTCGCACTCCCTCACCGTGAGGCTCTGGGCTGAGACCCCACACTCCCTCCCCTCACACTCCCTCACACTCCCTCACACTCCCTCACACTCCCTCCCTCACACTCCCTCCCCTCACACTCCCTCACTCACACTCCCTCACTCACACTCCCTCACTCACACTCCCTCACTCACACTCCCTCCCTCACACTCCCTCCCCTCACACTCCCTCCCTCACACTCCCTCCCCTCACACTCCCTCACTCACACTCCCTCACTCACACTCCCTCACTCACACTCCCTCACTCACACTCCCTCCCCTCACACTCCCTCCCCTCACACTCCCTCCCCTCACACTCCCTCCCCTCACACTCCCTCCCCTCACACTCCCTCACACTCCCTCACACTCCCTCACACTCCCTCACGCTCCCTCACACTCCCTCACACTCCCTCACACTCCCTCCCCTCACACTCCCTCCCTCACACTCTCTCACACTCCCTCGCACTCCCTCGCACTCCCTCACCGTGAGGCTCTGGGCTGAGACCCCACTGCTGCAGGAGCCGCTGCCCGTGCAGGAACGGCTCCAGCGCCGCCTGCAGGTGCAGCAGCGCCGCCAGGAACAGCTCTCCTCCTCCACCCTCACGCTCCACCGCTCCACCCTCACGCTCCACCGCTCCACCCTCACGCTCCACCGCTCCACCCTCCTCGCCCAGACGGCGCCACAGCCCCGGCACCACTCGCTCCTACGGCCACGCACGCACCCCGTGGTAGCGGTAGCGGCACGGGCAGTGGTAGTAGTAGTGGTAGCAGTAGTAGTAGTGGCAGTGGTAGTAGTAGTGGTAGTAGCACGGGCAGTGGTAGTAGTAGTAGTAGTGGTAGCAGTAGTGGTAGTGGTAGTAGTAGTGGTAGTGGTAGCAGTAGTGGTAGCGGTAGTAGTAGTGGTAGTAGTAGTGGTAGCGGTAGTAGTAGTGGTAGTAGTAGCGGTAGCAGTAGTATTAGTAGCAGTGGTAGTAGTAGTGGTAGCGGTAGCAGTAGTAGTAGTGGCAGTGGTAGTAGTAGTGGTAGTGGTAGCAGTAGTGGTAGCGGTAGTAGTAGTGGTAGCAGTAGTAGTAGTGGCAGTGGTAGTAGTAGTGGTAGCAGTAGTAGTAGTGGTAGCGGTAGTAGCACGGGCAGTGGTAGTAGTAGTGGTAGTAGTAGTGGTAGTAGTAGTGGTAGCGGTAGTGGCAGTGGTAGTAGTAGTGGTAGCGGTAGTAGTAGTGGCAGTGGTAGTAGTAGTGGTAGCGGTAGTAGTAGTGGCAGTGGTAGTAGTAGTGGTAGCGGTAGCGGCACGGGCAGTGGTAGTAGTAGTGGTAGCGGTAGTAGTGGCAGTGGTAGTAGTAGTGGTAGTAGTAGTAGTAGTGGCAGTGGTAGTAGTAGTGGTAGCAGTAGTAGTCGTGGTAGCGGTAGTAGTAGTGGTAGCGGCACGGGCAGTGGTAGTAGTAGTGGTAGCAGTAGTAGTAGTGGCAGTGGTAGTAGTAGTGGTAGCGGTAGTAGTAGTGGCAGTGGTAGTAGTAGTGGTAGCAGTAGTAGTAGTGGTAGCAGTAGTAGTAGTGGCAGTGGTAGTAGTAGTGGTAGCAGTAGTAGTAGTGGCAGCCGTAGTAGTAGTGGTAGCGGTAGCGGCACGGGCAGTGGTAGTAGTAGTGATAGCAGTAGTAGTAGTGGCAGTGGTAGTAGTAGTGGTAGCAGTAGCGGTACGGGCAGCAGTATTAGTAGTGGCAGTGGTAGTAGTAGTGGTAGCAGTAGCAGCACGGGCAGTGGTAGTAGTAGTGGTAGCAGTAGTGGTAGTAGTAGTGGTAGTAGTAGTGGTAGCAGTAGTGGTACGGGCAGTGGTAGTAGTAGTGGTAGCAGTAGTGGTAGTAGTAGTGGTAGCAGTAGCAGCACGGGCAGTGGTAGTAGTAGTGGTAGCAGTAGTGGTAGTAGTAGTGGTAGCAGTAGTGGTACGGGCAGCAGTAGTAGTGGTAGCAGTAGCGGTACGGGCAGCAGTAGTAGTAGTGGTAGCAGTAGCGGTACGGGCAGCAGTAGTAGTGGTAGCGGTAGCAGCACGGGTAGCGGTAGTAGTAGCGGTACGGGCAGCAGTAGCGGAACGGGCAGAGGTAGCAGTAGCGGTACGGGCAGCAGTAGTAGTGGTAGTGGTAGCAGTAGCGGTACGGGCAGTAGTAGTAGTGGTAGTGGTAGCAGCACGGGTAGCGGTAGTAGTAGTGGTAGCGGTACGGGCAGCAGTAGTAGTGGTAGTGGTAGCAGTAGCGGTACGGGCAGTAGTAGTAGTGGTAGTGGTAGCAGCACGGGTAGCGGTAGTAGTAGTGGTAGCGGTACGGGCAGCAGTAGTAGTAGCGGTAGCAGTAGCGGCACGGGTAGCAGTAGCAGCACGGGCAGTGGTAGTAGTAGCGGAGCAGTAGCAGTATGGGCAGCAGTAGCGGAACGGGCGGTAGTAGCGGTAGCAGCACGGGCAGTAGAAGCAGCATGGGCAGCAGTAGCAGCACGGGCAGTAGAAGCAGCATGGGCAGTGGTAGTAGTAGTGGTAGCAGTAGCGGTACGGGCAGTGGTAGTAGTAGTGGTAGCAGTAGCAGCATGGGCAGTGGTAGTAGTAGTGGTAGCAGTAGCGGTACGGGCAGTGGTAGTAGTAGTGGTAGCAGTAGCAGCATGGGCAGTGGTAGTAGTAGTGGTAGCAGTAGCGGTACGGGCAGTGGTAGTAGTAGTGGTAGCAGTAGCAGCATGGGCAGTGGTAGTAGTAGTGGTAGCAGTAGCGGTACGGGCAGCAGTAGTAGTAGTGGTAGCAGTAGCGGTACGGGCAGCAGTAGTAGTGGTAGCGGTAGCAGTAGCGGTACGGGCAGCAGTAGTAGTGGTAGTGGTAGCAGTAGCAGCACGGGCAGTGGTAGTAGTAGTGGTAGCAGTAGCGGTACGGGCAGCAGTAGTAGTGGTAGTAGTAGCAGTAGCAGCACGGGCAGTAGCAGCAGCATGGGCAGCAGTAGCAGCACGGGCAGTGGTAGTAGTAGCAGTAGCAGCACGGGCAGTAGCAGCAGCATGGGCAGCAGTAAGCGGAACGGCGCACAATTGGAACGGTTTGTAAAATGTAACACAATAACGCAGTGCATTTAAATGCCCATACGGTCAGTGTTATACAACGCGTTATGGTTCAACAGCAAAGGGAAGCATAGTTCAACTCGCAGATAACAAATATTGTACATTTGAACCTACTGGGGGTGGGCACACCGGATGGTGCGAGGTTCATTAAAAAATAAAAATAAAAGATTTTTCGCAATCATTATTTATTTTCCACACCGAGTCGCAAACCCGATCAGAAAATCTTGCGGGGTGGCGGTGGTGCATCAAATTCGGTTCTCGTGATGCGGAAGCGGTCGGAAAACGAGCGTTTACACGAGCGGCCGAGCACGAATCTTCACAGTCTGTTGCCGTACAGCGGCGACCCAGCCAGCCGACGACGACTGGCCGGCTCCGTGTTCCAAAGGCGACGTTTATACGAGCGACCGGCTGAACACGAAGCTTGGGCCCTCATCTTTACCTCGTGGGTCTACAGCGGCAGCCGCTCAGTCAGCGGCAACAGCCGGTCCTCGTCAGCTGCGTCCGCAGCTGACGAGGACCGGCGGCGACACGCCGGGGCGGTGCGCCACCACCACCACCACCGCGTCCGTTTGCGCGCCTGCCGAACCAAACGGTTCCCCGCGGGTTCGGTTCGCAGGCGCGAGCGGCGGACGCTTTAATAAAAAAACACACAAACGTCTTCACGGAGGACTCGTCCGTAAGTCGGGGCGGCGGGGGGGGGGGGCCTTCGTTAAAGTCGGGGACCGGCGGCTGCACCTGCAGGTGCTTCTGCAGCAGCTCCAGGAAGCAGGGCACCAGCAGCGACTCCACGCCGCTCGCTCGCAGCGCCGCCAGCGCCGCCTCCAGCTCGACGGGCGGGGAGCGCGGGTCAACAACCCCCGGCAGCAGCTACGATGGGGAGGGGCGCGTGACGTCACAAAGAGCGGGGTGGGGGTGACGTCACAAAGAGCGGGTGTGGGGGTGACGTCACAAAGAGCATGCTTCGTGCGGCGGCGGCGGCAGCGACGCGGCAAAGATCCCCTGCGTACTCTTTGGTTCTATTGGGTAAGGTCACTCCAGCGCTGTCCTCCAGACAGTCTCGTCCCTTCGCCTGATGAAGGCCGCTTGTGTTGTGGCCTGAAACGTCGCGATTCTTTGTTATTTTATTTTCACCTACGTGACTCTACCCAATAGAACCAAAGAGTATGGATCCTAGCAGTCACGAAAGCTCTAAATCTAGAATCCCCTGCGTAGCTCACGCAGGCTGCAGGGGAAAGTGCTGTTGGCGGAGAGCGGCGAGTTATCCACTGAGTATGTACGCACGGAGCGGGCAGGGGGGTTTAACCCAAACGCGTTCCCTTGCGTATGGGGGGGGGGGGGGGGGGGGGGGGGTCTACTAACAATGTACGCATTGGAAACGAGGGGGGGGGGGTGAAGCCTCGATAATAATAATAATGCAGCCGGCGGTGGACTGTTTGCTTAAACACATTCATATTAGTAATCCTTGATCGTTTCTGCGTGGATTAAATATCGGCCGTTCTATGGAGGGGGTGGGGGGTGCATCAAGCGAACCTACACGGGGGGGGGGGGTGGGTGGTGTAATAAGTCCGCGTGCCTACAGGGAGAGCGGGCGAGGGGTGAAGCTTTGACAGATATTTGCGATGGATGGCCCCACTAAGGTTGGTCTGGCTAGAGGTCTGGCTCGAGGCACCACAAGCGGTGAGGCCCAACGCTCTTTGCCAGCACCTATGAAGGCCCACATGTGGCACCTCTGAACAAGTGCGGTGGCTAGGAGATGTTAACTACCTCGCCTGGTGTACAGGAGGTCGTGGGTTCGGTTCCGACCCTGACGCCTGCTGCTGTGTATTTGGAGTTTGTGTCCCTCTCATCATCACGGTGGCTAGGAGATGTTAACTACCTCGCCTGGTGTACAGGAGGTCGTGGGTTTGATCCCGACCCTGACGATGCCTGCTGCTGTATATTGGGAGTTTGCGTGTCTCTCTCTCTCATCATCATCACGGTGGCTACGAGATGTTAACTACCTCGCCTGGTATACAGGAGGTTGTGGGTCCGATTCCGACCCTAACACCTGTTGCTGTATATTTAGAGTTTGCGTGTCTCTCTCATCATCATCACGGTGGCTACGAGATGTTAACTACCTCGCCTGGTGTGCAGGAGGTCGTGGGTTCGATTCTGACCCTAACACCTGTTGCTGTATATTCGGAGTTTGCGTAAAAGTAGCAGCATTATTGTACAGTAGCAGCAGTAACAGTAGCAGCATTAGTGTACAGTAGCAGCAGTATTAGTAGCAGTAACAGTAGCATGACTGTACAGTAGCAGCAGTATTAGTAGCAGTAACAGTAGCATTACTATACAGTAGTAGCAGTATTAGTAGCAGTAACAGTAGCATTACTATACAGTAGTAGCAGTATTAGTAGCAGTAACAGTAGCATTACTATACAGTAGTAGCAGTAACAGTAGCAGCATTACTGTACAGTAGCAGCAGTATTAGTAGCAATAACAGTAGCAGCAGTAGCATTACTGTACAGTAGTAGCAGTATTAGTAGCAGTAACAGTAGCAGCAGCAGTATTAGTAGCAGTAAGAGTAGCATTACTGTACAGTAGTAGCAGCAGTATTAGTAGCAGTAACAGTAGTAGCAGTATTAGTAGCAGTAACAGTAGCAGCAGTAGCACTACTGTACAGTAGTAGCAGTAACAGTAGCATTACTGTACAGTAGTAGCAGTAACAGCAGTAGCATTACTGTACAGTAGCAGCAGTATTAGTAGCAGTAAGAGTAGCAATACTGTACAGTAGTAGCAGTATTAGTAGCAGTAACAGTAGCAGTATTAGTAGCAGTAACAGTAGCAGAAGTAGCACTACTGTACAGTAGCAGCAGCAGTATTAGTAGCAGTAAGAGTAGCATTACTATACAGTAGCAGCAGCATTAGTATCAGTAACAGTAGCATTACTATACAGTAGCAGCAGTATTAGTAGCAGTAACAGCAGTAGCATGACTGTACAGTAGTAGCAGTAACAGTAGCATGACTGTACAGTAGTAGTAGCAGTAACAGTAGCATTACTGTACAGTAGTAGCAGCAGTATTAGTAACAGCATTACTGTACAGTAGTCGCAGCAGTAACAGCAGTAGTACGAGTAGCAGTACTGTACAGTAGTAGTAGCAGTAGTAGCAGTACTGTACAGCAGTAGTACCAGTAGACGGAGCACAACACAATCAGTGGGTTGCCACAATTTGGTACCGGTTGTATCGACCCCGAGAGCAACTGACGATGCTGATGGTGATCCCGCCCGCACGCACGCAAGCCCCGGGCTCACCGCTTCACGTGGCACCAGGGTGGTGAGGACGGAGCTCCAAGCCGCGCTCACCACGCCGGTGGAGTCCATGGTGGGGAGGGGAGACGGGGAGACACGCGGGGAGACACACAGGGAGGGGAGAAACACAGAGACAAGCCGGGAGAGAGAGACACAGAGACACAGAGAGTCGCGGCCTCCTCCTCGACTGGGAAGCCGCGAGGGCGGGAAATTCACACGCGGAAACCACGTGTAGGTCGCGCGGCCAATCACAGGCCACACCGCCGCCCCCGCCGCGGCGTCACGTTCACGCGAGCGGCCAATCGGGGGAGGCGTGACGTCACCCGGCGAGTGTAAACAGCTGAGACAGGGGCGCAGGCCCAGCAAGTGCCGGCTGATATTAATATTACTGTACACTATTACTGTACACTATCACTGTACACTATCACTGTACACTATTGCTGTACACTATCGCTGTACACTATTACTGTACACTATTACTATACATTACTGTACACGCTTACTGTACACTGTTACTATACACTATTACTGTACAGTGTACACTATTACTATACACTGTTTCTGTACACTATTACTGTACATTATTACTGTACACTATTATACACTTTTACTATACACTTACTATACATACTATTATAACTATTATAATTGTAACTATTATAATTATAACTATTATAATTATAACTATTATAACACATGATTACACTATTATGATTACACTATATTATAACACATTATTACTACACACTTATTATAACACACTATTATTACACCATTATTACCCTATTATTATTACACACTTTTATGTAACTTGCCCTGCTGCCTGTTTATTATATTTCCAAATCTTTGACGCTTATTCTCTTCGGATCTATGAAGCCACTAACGAGCTAAAATGTTGTAAACACACGCTCGTCATTGTATTCTGCGTGGCAATTCAAGATTTCATACTGGTAAGGAACCTCCTGGTTACACCAGCCCACAGAGGATGACGGGGAGGAGGCCGCGGGGTGACCAGCGGCTGGTCACCCTGTGGTGCCCTTATAAAACTCAACGTGTAACCTACTCACGCCGGCTTGTGCCCGCCCCTCCACCACGTGGTGCCGCCGCTGTTGACCCTGGCCATTGACCGAGCAACCCGACGTTCCTGCCAGCTCCCTCCGCAGGAGAATTGTGTTTTAAAGACCCGCCCGATCCTGGGGACTTTTTATTGCAGTATTTAAAATATACAGGGTGCTTCCATAAAATGTTAAAACATACTTGGAACTATCGTTTGCAATGGAAGAATACACTGTGACATTACGAAAAAATGTTATGTTAATAGCCTCAAAAAGTCAGTCCCCATTTGTTCGCCGTCGTTGTCAACCACGTGACGGGAATCTTCTCGAGGCACATTTCTCGTGATATTGTTGCAAATTCTCAGAAGTGTTTACAAGTTTCCGAAGCGCCCTGTGTTAGGATTATCCGGGCAAGAGCGAACCACTGTTATTGTCCGAGGAGGTTGGAGGGAGCGAGACAAATTTGAATCTTGAGATCGGAGGGAGCGTGTAGGGGCATCGAGAAATGAGAGGAGAGAGGTAGGGGGTGGGCAAAGACCGTGCAAAGCTTCGAAGACTTAAGGCGAGGATTTTCAAAAAGACAGCGGTGATAGCCAGTTAAGTTGTTGAAGGCGAGGAGAGCAGTGAGATGTGTAGGGAAAGGTTTATTACAGCGCATACGAGAGGGATGAGACGCGTAAGCAGGGAGACCGACCCGGAGCGAGTTGCAGTAACGAAGATGAGTTTGGCAAGCGGTCGTGGTGGTGGTGGTGATGGGGCGGATTTTCCCGATGTTGTGCAGATGGTAACGACGGCGTGTGAGAGTGGTCGTGGCGATGTGGGACGTGAAGCGAAGAGTGGAATCGAAGGTAACACCGAAAGTGAGGTTGGAAGAGTTTGGGAGGAAGTTCAGTGGGGGGGGGGGGGGGGAAGAAACGGAGGGTGCAGGAGGAGGCGGGGGAGGAAGAAGGCACCGAGGTTTTGGAAGGATTTAGTGAAAGGAAGTTTTGGGTCATTCAGGCTCGTATGGAGACAAAATGACATGAGGGAAAGACCGGGGGTGAATGATTGGAAGGAGAAGGAAATTTGTGTGTCGTCAGCAAAGAGGTGATAGGAAATATCAAAGGGAGAAAGAATAGACTCTGGGGGGAGGATGTCTACGGAGAACAGTGCCGAGCCCTGGGGGACACTATCCGTGATGGAGGAGGAAGAGCAGCGGTGGAGACAGTCGATGAATGAATGGGAAGTTAGGAACGCATCGTAGAAAGAGGGGCGCATCTGACACCGAGGTTGGCGAGAATGAATAGGACGGACGGAGTGGTCGAGGGTGTCGAAGACAGATCGGGAGAGATGAGGAGGGATGATTGATCAGAGTTGGTGGCCAGGCGGTTGTGGATGTGATGGGAGGGCGGTTTCAGTGAAACGGAGAGGGCTGAACCCAGACTGGTGGATGGGATACGGCGAGTGGGAAGAGACGTCGGCTGAGAGACGGGCGTGCAACAAGCATTTAGAGATAGAATAAGTAATATTTAAACAAAAACTTTTTAAAAACACGCTTGAATGAAATGTACCGTACTAGTGATGGGAAGAACTCCACAACTCCATTAAGTGGCCCCGAAGCTTGCCACAACGTAAGGGGCCCGTGGTTATTTACAGCCGTTAGTTGAGCGTGGACAATTCGACCCAAGCCGAAACATAACATATAATAAAGATGGTTTTAAAATATATATTTTGTATTTTTAATGATAGAATATAGTATTGTCATCAGTATGACATAAGTATACCGAGTTTGCAGTCGATACCACATTGGGAAGTGGGTAAAAATTGAGTTACAAGATTTGAGGATACAACAACAGACAGTGAAATTTTTATGTAAAGCTTTCGTGACTGCAGTGATTCATATTCTTGGTTCTTTCGGTAAAGTCACGTTGAAGGGAAAAAATAAAATACTAAAATATATAAAATAAAATTCTCACGACGTTTCGACTGTAACACAAACAGTCATCATCAGGTGTGAAACCCAACGGCAAGAAACATTTTAAAGAAGTGGCGGTTTGTATTAATTCATTTTTAAACGTTAGCACCACGGACAGCGATTTGGCAGTTTGTTTAGAAGGACGAGTCCATCTATGTTCGGAAAAGAGGAGGGAGGAGACGAAAAATTAATGTATGCTGTCTAAAAGCCACCGTAAGCGTGAACAATCAATTAAGACCTGAAATGGTTTATCAAATCCTTCCTTGATTGTTCACGCTTACGGTGGCTTTCAGACAGCATACATTAATTTTTCGTCTCCCCCCTCCTCTTTTCCGAACATAGATGGACTCGTATTCTTAGCTCTTTCGGTAAAGTCACGTTGAAGGGTCGAAACGTCGTGAGAATTTTTATTGTTTAATATATTTTATTATTTTAGTTTCCCTTCAACGTGACTTTACCGAAAGAGCTAAGAATATGAATTACTGCAGTCACGAAAGCTTTAAATCAAAATATATATGGACTCGTCCTTCTAAACAAACTGTCAAATCGCTATCCGTGGTGCTAACGTTTAAAAATAAATAAATACAAACCACCACTTCTTTCAGATGTTTCTTGCCGTTGGTTTTCACACCTGATTACTGCTTGTGTTAGTCGAAACGTCGTGAGAATTTTATTGTTTTATATATATTTTATTGTTTCCCTCCAACGTGACTTTACCGAAAGAACCAAGAATATGAACACAGTGAGTTAAATAAAAGCGTGTAGTAATAATACAAAATAAAGCAAAGGAACGAGGGCAATAGTGCGTGGGGCATAAGGATCTCGAGAAGGCTTTTTTGAGGAGCGGGTTTTGTAAGGGTTGGGGAAGATGCCGGAAGAGAGGATAGAGTTCAAGAGAGGCGAGAGAAATGGAATAACAGCGGTGAGAATGGATGGGAGATGGGACACAGCGTTGGTGTACGGTGCTATTTCAGGAATATTTTGATATTTTTTTTCCTGTATTTTCTGTTTGCACAGTCACATAATCACTTTAAGATGTTTTCTTGTTCATGTTTTTTGTTTGTTGCGGTTGCACCCGATTCAAGAGCCGAATGGCTCACAGGGCTATACCAAATAAATGAACTACGAACTAAGGCAGAAGGGACACAGGGAGGAAAAGGTGGGGCAGGCTTTTGGAGACGGGTAGACGGCGAAATCAATAGTTCGCTCATAAAACCGCGTTGTCACGGGCCGCGTGTTCTGTGTTATATTATAACGGCACGCGTGCTCCCCCATTACATTTGTTCGGGGTTATAACGGAGCGCGCGTTGTGTGAAGAGTGTTCATCCCCTCGCGAAAGAACCACGTGAGAGCGACCGCGCGTCACGGCGCGAACACGTCCACGTGTCGAGCCAGGCACTTTGCCCTTAACGGGGTTTTCTACTCGCATGAAATCACTAATCGGACCTGTTTATTTGAACAAAGTGGTACACGAACATTCGGATATAAAATATCAACGTTGCTTCCGACCAAACACCCACGCACTGGCGGGGAAACAGCACGAAGCAAGACAGTATAGCGATGTCACCCACCCCTCACAATGTACAAAACATTTAAACAATATATATTTTAAAACTTTAGCCAACATATTTGTGTCATCTCTCTTAAGATTGACTTTTCAAGCAGAACACATCTTTGCGAAATATTTTTAACGGTCTTGCCCCTGTACACCTCGACACATCTTAATCACAAGGGGCTATATTTTGGTATTCCACGCAATTCTTCTAATAAATAGAGGTCGAGGATATCGTGGGAGCAGGTTTGCTTTGTTACACAGGCTGGTATCGTCTGCCAATTTGGGTCAATGTCGCAATGTGTTATTTTGTCCCAATTAAGTGATTGGGATTACTGAATTGAGGCGGGGTACAGAGTGGAGTCAGCCCATGATCTCCCTGGGATGGGTGAAACGAGGAGCACTTTGTGGGGAATTCAAGCCATCTTGCTCAAGCAAAGGCTCCCCCCCCCCCCGGATCAAAAGGCTGTAAATGGCAGACAAGCACCAACGCGCCTTCAATCAAACAATGCTCATTCGAGCAGGAAATCACCTTTTTTATAATAATTGTTATTATATGATTTATCCTGGCAAAGAAATTGGGACACCATCTTGCCTGGGAAGGGGATGTGTGGTGGATAGAAAGCTGCCCAAGTTATAATATTTTTTTTTAAATGCATATTGATATACAAATAAAAGATATATGTAAAAAAATAAGATATTTACAAAAAAATAATTGTATGAGGTAGCACCTCATCTCTCTCTCTCTCTGGTACTATCTGCTGACCTCGGATGAGAGGGCCACCCTACTCACACAGGACTGCGTAAGCCGAGCGAAACGGCCGAGCGGTCAGCAAGTCGCGCGCAACTGAATCGCCCCAATGTCGGCGCAACCCCGTTGTGCAACAATTGTCCGACTGTCGCGCGAATTCTCGCTCGGATGCGGGCAAAGCAGTCGCGGGCGACTGACGATTTACACGCTGCGCCTATTGGCGATTTAGAAGCTGCGCTATTAACTTCGAGAGCCATTTCAGTTCTGCGCAATGACCTCTCAAGCGTGGACTGTGGCTTAAGGGACAAAGAGCCCAGTGGAGAGGGATCAGGTGAAAGCTCAGGACCGGCCTGGTAGGAGTAATTATAGTATGATAACACGGTTCGCTGTGGTCATGGAAAAACGCGGCATCGCTCGGCGTGGGGTTCACAATGGCCGCGTCGGAAGAGGCTGACGAGGACGCGGCAAGGCCGTTCGCTGGCCATACTTCACCGCGCCGGTCAACGTGGGACGGCGAGCCTAGACTTTGGAGGCACAGAAGCACAGTACAACAACAGGGCAAGAGCTGGGAGCACAAAACTGACTGGAGAAAAACCACAGGCAGTCGTAATTCGGGTCCCAACCCGGGAGGCTCAGCTGTGATGGCTTGCCGTCCCTGACACGGCCTCTCTGTACCCAGTTACACACACAGCTCACTCCGGGCCTTGAACCGAAGGTGCTCAATGGTGTTTGTGCAATCTCTGAAACAGCCATTGGGCCAACCGACCAAATCCATGCGGTAGCTTATATTTAACAAATTATGATTGAACATATTTTATGTTCAACATGGAAAGTAATTATACAATCCTGAGATGCAACTGGAATATTAATGTTACCCTATTCTCCAGATGATTCTCTGTGCGCGTGTCTGTGGTGTGTTAGTGGCGAGCAGTCGCGGTTAGCTACAATGTGTGGTTAACATCACCAACAGGGAGGAAAAGGCGGCCGGGCGTGTGTGGTGCTGGCCATCCACCCCCTCGTGTGCCGTGCCGATCTTTATAGATGCTCGCTAACAGCACGTGCCCCAACAGTCTGTTGAGGCTAAACGGGGGAATCTTTCACTTTTCAGCCAGAAGTATTTAAGTGCACCTGCGTGTGTGACCAGATTTGAAGTTTTCATGACACTGAGTCTTGATTTTTAGAGCGTCTTATGATCTGGATAATACGGTAAACGCCACAGGAACTTTTCTGACAATAACATTTGGAACGGAATTAAGGAAAATGCATTACACAAACCCTCGCCATCATCCCTCCCTGTACACATAAAGCCTTTTGTCCATCGACTGGCATGCGGGGGTCACTTGACCATACTTCACCACGCTGGTCACTGCAGATTGGTGAAGACAGGGAGCATACGTAAGCGAACAGTACAATGGATTTCGCTACTCTCTGCTTCCCACAATTTAGCCCTGCGCCAGGTACTCGCACGAAGCCGAGTCGACCTCGGGGAGGCCCACGAAGCAGTTCAGATAATCGTCACTGGTGGCGATCGTGAGGGGGTAAGAATCTAACTCGGGGTCACGGGGTTCGTAGCGCAGGGTGCTAACCACTGCGCCACCGCTCCCCACTCACGCCCTTTGTTCCCTTGATACACACGCGCGCAGGCAAATAAAACTCCTTGAAAACGGAACGGGCTCAATATGATCGCCGAGACTTTGCAGAGGCTGTTCTACACCAGGGGTAGGGAAACGTGCGGCCCGCGGGCCGTGTACAGCCCGCAAAATTATTTAGGTGTGGCCCTGCCAAGGCAAACCGCAGGCGGGACTCGAAATTCAATAAATCTAGGGAGCAAACCTGGAAAAGCAGTGGCGAGTAGCAACAACAATACCAGCTAACATCACCACACGCCTCGCCAAAGAGAAGCAGTTCCAGCCATCGCATTAGGGGCGAGTTCATTAAATGTTTGACCAAATATAACGCGGGCTAATTTTGCAAGTTGATAATTTTGCATGGCCCGCGAATGAGGTTATATAAATATCCAAATGGCCCTTGGCAGAAAAAAAAGGTTCCCCGCCCCTGTTAATGAGCGCCGTTGTTACAATGGCAACACTGTCGTCACGACGACATCGCCTGTGTGAGTGAGTGTACATTCTCTAACAGTGTGCTTACTACCAGGGTACTCACCATGACAGTGTTGTCTCTGACACCCAATCGCCCAGACTCATGCACTCACCAATTCAATCACACCGCGTGCGTTTATGCCGCTGTGTCTGTGTGTCTCTCTGTCTCCATGTCTGTGTTTGTAGCCTCCTATCCTACTACTCACCCACCCCTCACTCACCCACCCACCCACCCGCGCCCTCACTCACTCGGCCACCCCTTCTCTTATTCACCAACTCCCTCACCCACCCACTTACCCATTCCCCCCCCCCCCCTACTCTCACTCACCCAACCCCTAAACCCACTCACCCTCTCACTTGCCCACACAGCCCCTAACTCACCCAGGCACTTGTTCATTCACTCACCCACCCTACTCCCTCGCTCATTCCTCCACTCATTCACCCACCCACCCACTCACCACCGGCCCTCGCTAGGAGCACCCACAGTGGAAGTCCCCGTGCTCGGGGCGGTATGCCACGCACGCCATGTGGAACCAGGCGTCGCACGCGTCGCACTGCACCCAGTCCAGCGTCTCATCCTGCGGGCGCAGGCAGCGGCGCGCGGCGCAAGCCTCCCCACCCCCCACCGCGGCCACAGAGGCCACCGCGGCCACCGCCCCCTCGTCATCACTCTCCTCGTCCTCCTCTTCAACCGCGGCTCCACCGGCAAGGCCCCTCGCCGCGTTCCACACCGCACCGCGCACAGACGCGACCGCATCCTTTGCCGTGCTTTTTACAGCGTTCTTCACCGCCGCTCCGACAGGGCCCCTGGCGGCCGCTCCAGTTTTCTTTGAGGCCGCTGGGCTCTTTGCCGCTGCTGCTGCTGCTGCTGCTGCTGTGAGCGATGGTGGGGTCCTGCTGGAGAACGCTGGGCTCCAGCCGAGGGATACGGGCGGCGACTGGGCGAGTGGCTTGGGGATCCTGACGAGAGATGCCGGCGTCTTGGAGTAAGAACTTGGGGTCCTGGCGAGCGACGCCGGCGATGGCGCCGCCGCTGCCAGTGGAGAGGAGTTCTTCCTGGGGCGGCCCCGCGGTCTCCTGAGATGTCAGGGGTCAGTCACACGGTGCAGGGGTGAGCGAGTGAGTGGGTGCCGAGCGTGCGAGGAGGAGTGGGTGAGCACGTGAACGGTTGAGTGAAGGGTGGTTGCGCTGGGTGAGCAATTTTGAGAGTGAACAAACAAGCGTGTGAGTGAAAGGGGTGGGTGAACAGGTGAGTGCGGTGTTCCCAGCACGGCCATTATGAGCCAACCCCCCACCCTTACCCGGTTCCAGTGGTGCGCTGGCAGCTCCCAGCATTCCTCCTGGCGCCTCCACTTCCTCTGTGGGCTCCGCGCCCCCCCTGAGGTCTCCCCGCAGCCCCCCCAAATCCCGCTGTGCGCGACTCCATCAGGCGCCGCTCCCAACCCCGTCCCTCCATCGTCTCCTCCTCCTTCACCACCTCCTCCTCCTCCTCCTCGTCATTACCACTGGCACCGTCACCGTCGTCCACATCGTCATCGTCGTCGTCAGACGAGGAGCGAGACCGCGGCGACGGCGGCGGCGATGGCGATGACGACGGCGACGATCGTGATAATCCGTCCGAGAGGAGCCTCCGGGTCACCGTGACTTCTGGGCAGCGGAGGTCGCGGTGGGGTCGGCTCGCGGTGACCTCCGTGTCCAGGTCGCGCCGCACCGTGTGCACCGGCTTGCGCTGCCGCTTGCGGGTGGGCGCCAACAGGGGGTCTGTGTGTGCGGGGGATGGAGGTGGGAGGGCAGAGGAGGGGGGAGAGCGTTTAGAGTCAGGCGAGTGGTGTTAGGGTTACTGGTAGGAGAATGGAGTTGGTGTTTGGGATAGTGATAGTGTTAGTGATAATGTGTTTGAGTAGTGATAGTGTAAGGGGTGGTGCTAATGTGTTATGAGTAGTGATAGTGTTAGGGGTAGTGCTAATGTGTTGTGATAGTGTTAGGGGGTAGTGCTAATGTGTTATGAGTTGTGACTTTGTTATGGGCAGTGTTAATGTGTTATGACTAGTGATAGTGTTAGGGGTCGTATTAGGAGATGGTGGTAGTGATAGGAGTGGTGCGAGTGTGAGAGGCACTTATCGTGGTGATGGTGTTAGTGAAATGAGTTTGGAGTAGTGTCGTTAATAAGATGGCAGTGTTTGAGTTATGTAAGTGCTGGAGGTAGCGTTAGTGCTTGTATTGGAAGTAGTGTTTGTGTTAGGGGTCCTGTTAGTGCTACGCGTTAGTGTCAGAGGCAGTGTTAGTATGAAGGGACTGTGCCAGTAAGAGTGGTAGTGATAATAGTAGTGGTGTGTGTGAGGTAGTTGTAACGGTGGTGTTAGTGATAGGAATTAGGTGTCAGTGTATGGGTTATGTTAGTGTCAGCGCTAGGGGTAGTGTTCGTGCGCACAATTAGTGCTAGCGGCAGCGCTAGTGTCAGGCATTACGGTCAGCGAAAATGCTGGCGATAGGGGCGGTGGTGCCAGCAATGGTGCGAGTGTCGTGGCTCGAGGGCCGACGTCGGCAGTTCGTGGTTACGCACGGCGCAACCACGGCACGGCCGGGCACGCGGGCACCGGCGAATCGCACCGACCGACGCTGTGAATCTACGACCCTCGGCGGTTACCACTCGCGACCCCTCCAGTGAAACTGCCACTCACCGGACTCGGAAGCCGGCCGCTGCCGACGCTGCTGCTGCTGCTGCTGTTCCGTGCCGGCTGCGTCGGCGTGGCCGACCGGGTCAGTGGGAGTGGCGGCGGCGGCGGCGCCACCGTTGGTGCCGCGGCCCGGGTGGTAGGTGAGCGAGGACGCCTGAAGCTTGCTGATGCTGCCGATGGAGGTGAGGATGAGGGCGCGTGGAGGCGGTGCCGGTGTCGGTGTCACCGGCGTCGTTGGGGCCGGGGTCGTCGTGGCGGGAGGTGTGGCCGGTGCGGAGTGGCGGCGACGCGGCGGGCAGCTCGACATTGGGATCGCGTCGAAGTCGTCCGGCCTCACGTCCACCTGGGGTCAACACGAGGTGGACGGGAGGGGTGGGGAGAGGAGGTGAGGAGATGGGAGAGGTAGTAGGGGAGGAGATAGCTGGAGGTAGGGAGAAGGAAGGAGAGGTGTGGGGAGAGAGGTGAAGAGGTGGAGGAGGAGGAGGAGGAGGAGGGAGAATAATGAATGAGCAGGAGAGGGGAAAGTGGAGACGAGAAAGGACGGAAGCATAGGAGAGGAAAGTGAGGAGAGCAGGAGAGGGGAGACTGAACTTAGTAAAAACGGTTCAACATATACATACTGTATAGCGATATACCATGTTTGGTCTTCCATAATCCTATATCATTGTAACCGATATTAATCCTATACAACGATCATAAAGATCCCCCGTATAGCCTCAACAGGCTATTGGGGCAAGTGCTGTTAGGGAGTAGCAGCAGCGCCTATGAAGGCCGGCACATAGCACAAGGGGGTGGGTGTCCAGCACCTGGCCCGCCCGGCCGCCTTTGTCTCCCCAGTGGCGATGTTTACTGCACACCGCACCAGCTACTCATTTGATACAGAGTCGGCCTACGAGGAGGCTCGGGACCGGTTCTCAGATAATTAATCACCACTAGTGTTGATGGTGGTAGCCTTGAGCAGGAATCGAACTCGGGTCTTTGCCGGGTTTGCCGCGCAGCGTAGCGCTAATCGCTGCGCCACCGCTCCCCATTAATCCTATACACCCGTCGTCGCACACCACCGCCAGAGTACCGCGACGTGAACGCACGGCGAGATGAACGATGCGATCCGGCCGAGCATCAAGCGCTGCTCTTGTTTTCATCGCCAAGTTCGTGAATAAAAGTAACACGTGCTGTGGAGAGGCGGTGGTGGTTGTGTTCTTTCGGGGATGAGGAGGAGGAGGAGGAGGGGGAATCTCTGCACCTTCTGGAAGAGGAAGAGGAACTCTGAGTCTGCGCCACGAGCGTTTGTCTGAGCGGGGCCCAGCAACACAGTGTCTCCATCGTGCAGCTCCACCCGGTCCCCCCGCTCCACTCGCCGCTCGTTCACGCTCGTGCCTGCGCACGCAGAGACGCGCGGGGCAGGGACGCGGGGACACACGTAGAGAGAGGCACGTTAATCACTCGTACCGGTGCCTGCACACGACCGGAGAGGCGGGGACACGGGCAGAGGCACGGGGCACGCGCAGAGACATGGTGGGTCGCACAGAGACGCGGCGATCATTCGCACCGATGCCTGCACACAAACCGAGACACGGAAACGCAAGCCGAGACACGGCAGCACAAGCGGGAGACACGGCATGGTGGTGTTGGTGGTGTACACTCACGCTTGTACACACAGAGACACGGCGATCATTCACACCGATGCCTGCACACAAGTGGAGACACGGCAGCACCCAGGGACACAGCGATTATTTACACTCACGCTTGTACACACAGAGACACGAGCGCAGATGGAGAGATGACTGTGCAAGGGCTATATGGATTGATTACATGATGACATGTTCGTGACAGATGGTGATTACGTGGACAGCCCATGGATAAATTTCGATTTAAAGCTTTCGTGCCTGCAAGGATTCATCTTCTTTGGTTCTTTCGGTAAAGTCACCACGTAGAATGAGAATAAAATAATAAAATAACACAATAATATTCTCACGACGTTTCGGCCACAACACAAGCGGCCTTCATCAGGTGAAGGGGACGAGACTGTCTGGAGGACAGCGCTTGTGTTGTGGCCGAAACGTCGTGAGAATATTATTGTGTTATTTTATCAATTTATTATTTTATTCTCATTCTACGTGACTTTACCGAAGGAACCAAAGAAGATGAGCCCATGGATAATTGTGTGTTTTTTACTTGAAACGAACCACCTAGTGCTTCACTTTACTCAATTTGGAATCACACAGCAGCAATAATCAACCCCGACTGGCCGATTCTCCTCTACCCTGTGGTCTCTCAAGCTCTCGCCTGGTTGCACAGGAATCAACCTGAACTCGCCCATTCATTAATTCACTCACTCAAATCGTTCACCCACTCGCTCATGCAAACGAGGCTCCTCGACCCTGCCTCTCTCGAGAGAGAGAGAGCACTTACCTGGTTACAATAACATCAACCTGAACTTGCATTAGTCACTGACCAGGGCCGCGCCTGACCCGTGCCCTCCCCGTTTCGCCGAACCGTGCCTTAAAAAGAATAACATCGCCCACCCACGTTGTAATGCAGTCATTTGTGTGTGCTTTGAAGGACCGTTGCCCGAAACGTCGCCGGTTATATATTTACTCTGAACGTATTTTTTTTACACGTGTTGACGTAGTGTTGTCAGTGGTGGGATGCATTCGGCTTGCAATGCCACAGCATCAGCCATTATCAATCCACTGCTGGATGAACGCCTCCCCCCCACCATAGCATCAGCCATTATCAATCCACTGCTGGATTAACGCCTCCCCCCACCATAGCACCATCGATGATGAATCCACTGCTGGATCAACGTCTCCCCCCACCATAGCACCACCAATGATGAATCCACTGCTGGATGAACGCCTCCCCCCCACCATAGCACCACCAATGATGAATCCACTGCTGGTTGAACGCCTCCCCCCCCACCATCACAGCACCACCAATGATCAATCCACTGCTGGATGAACGCCTCCCCCCCCACCATCACAGCACCACCAATGATCAATCCACTACTGGATGAACGCCTCCCCCCACCACCATAGCACCATCCATGATCAATCCACTGCTGCATGAACGCCTCCCCCCACCATCACAGCACCATCCATGATCAATCCACTACTGGATGAACGCCTCCCCCCCACCATAGCACCACCAATGATCAATCCACTACTGGATGAACGCCTCCCCCCCACCATAGCACCACCAATGATCAATCCACTGCTGGAGGAACGCCTCCCCCCCCCACCATAGCACCACCAATGATCAATCCACTGCTGGATGAACGCCTCCCCCCACCATCACAGCACCACCAATGATCAATCCACTGCTGGATGAACGCCTCCCCCCACCACCATAGCACCATCCATGATCAATCCACTGCTGGATGAACGCCTCCCCCCACCACCATAGCACCACCAATGATCAATCCACTGCTGGATGAACGCCTCCCCCCACCATCACAGCACCACCAATGATCAATCCACTGCTGGATGAACGCCTCCCCCACCACCACAGCACCAACCATGATCAATCCACTGCTGGATGAACGCCTCCCCCCCCCACCATAGCACCACCAATGATCAATCCACTGCTGGATGAACGCCTCCCCCCACCATCACAGCACCACCAATGATCAATCCACTGCTGGATGAACGCCTCCCCCCACCATCATAGCACCACCAATGATCAATCCACTGCTGGATGAACCCCTCCCCCCACCACCATAGCACCACCAATGATGAATCCACTGCTGGATGAACGCCTCCCACCGCACCCCCATGGATGATGACGATGGTGACACACGCATACAAAGCTCCCCCGTGTAGCCTCTAACAGGCTGTAGGGGCAAGTGCTGTTAGTAGCGAGTAGCTCACACACAGACAAAGATCCCCCGTGTAGCCTCTAACAGGCTGTAGGGGCAAGTGCTGTTAGTAGCGAGTAGCAGCAGCAGCACCCTATGAAGGCTGCCGGCAACTGTGGTGACACGAGGGGGTGGGTGGCCAGAAACCACGGCCTTTTCTAACACACACACTGCACAAGGTTAACTCGTTTGAGGCCGAGTCGACCTAGGGGAGGACGCCCACAGGACCGGGTGGCGCTCGTAGCCGACTTCGTAGCGCAGCAGCGCTGAGCGCGACCCCACACGGCGCCCAACACCCCGCTGCTCACCGCTGGAGCTGTGGTCCGTGATGTAGACCCTGTACCTCCGTGACCCCGCTCCGCCACCGCCGCCGCGACCGTTGCCGCAGCGCTCGGCCGTGAGGGAGGCGTGGAGGCGGGACAGCAGCGCGGGCCGCGACGCCGAGCGAAGGCAAACGTGGACGCGGCCCTCCGCGCGGCCCAGATCCGCCGAGCAGCGCTCGCCGCCCGGCACGAACGTGTAGAGGTCGCGCACGCCGTGGCCAGACGCCGGCGCGCCGATGCGGAGCAGTTGGAAACACGGCTGAACGTTGGGGAACATCGTTTACCTCAGGCTTTTTTTTATATTTTTAAAATCTCCCTCAGGAGTTGTGTGTTTTTTTTAATTCGCCACCACTCTCAGGCCGCCATGACGGTTCGTCTTTGAAATTTGGCGGGAAAAAAGCCGGGGGTGGGGGGGGGGGAAAGGCCCCCGCGAGGGAGAGAAAACGCGCGGGAAACTTCGGCCGCGCGCGCCCAGGTGGGCAACTCGCGCTCCCATTGGTCCGCGCCACGCGCGAAGCCCCACCACCTCGGCGCCGATTGGTCGACTCGGTGTTGCCGAGGCGGGGGGTGAGGAAACGAGACGCGGGAAACGAGCGCGTGGGGTGAAGTTGCCCCCCCCGCCCCCCCCCCGGCCATCTGCCGCTGTGATTGGATGAGAAGGTCCCAGGAGGGGCGGAGCAGTAAGTCGGTTTAAGTTCCCGCCACGGGAGGTTCATGGGGGGTGTGTGAGGGGTGCGTTTAAATAAGAATTAAAATAACATCCACCAACACCGTGGACTTATAACGTTACAACAAGAATGCACAGTATAATATAACTTACTATACAATGTAAGTTATTTTTGTTCAGTCAATAGCCCATCCGTGTGCGATGAAGAAGGGCCCATTGTCTATAATGCTCCTTGTAAGGTCACGGTATTATTTTTCTTTCAAATAATTGCGGCGGCTGATTGGTTGTAGAGGACCAGTGGGCGGGGAAATGTGTAGCCACTCCCTCCCCTTAGTGGGCAGGAAACGTTAAAAGCTCCACCCCACTTAACGCTGATTGGTTAGAGGGGGACAGTGAGCGTGGAAATGTGTAGCCACCCCCCCTCTCTTAGTGGGCGGAGAAAGTATTGAAGCTCCACCCACTTAACCGTGATTGGTTGACGAGTCATCGATTGACCCCGCCCCTCGCCCCTGATTGGCTCTCGGTAACATTGAAAATTCCCGATGCAGGCTGGCCAAGCTCTAGATCCACTCGGCCAGAAAACCCCATTTCAATCAAGCGTCACGTGACTACACCCTCTTCAGATTGATAAGTTTTTATTTCAATATTCAGTTTCTGATACATTTTTCAGTTTCCTTGCAATTTGTCTGCTGGTAATAAAACAAAACGTTCGTAATTAGTGAAAGATTAAACATTAAGAGTAAATAGGACAACGCTGCTAAATAACGTGTTAGTGTCTACGATAGAACAAGAGTCAAGTTTGAAGCCATGGACCACGTGAAATTAATCGGCCACGATCAATCTACTGCTGGATGAGGACCCTCCCCAAGTCACCACCACCACCATCAGCCACCATCAATCTACTGCTGGATGAGGAACCTCGGCGAGCGAGAATGGGGCCGTCCATAAATGACGTCACGCGATTTTGGAGATTTTTTACCCCGCCCCCCTCCTTCGTCACGCGGCGTCACAAAAAGTCAGACCCCCCCTCAAATATGACGTCACAAAGCTCTGCCCCCCCCCCCCCCCAAAAAATAAAACATGCTTCAAATCGATTTTAACTATTGTAGTGCGTATTTAATGTGGCGCTGCACTCCGATGTTGTAGGAGAAAACATTTATTTAAAAAGTTAATTTAATTAAGTAGAACGTGTTGTCTGTATTTATTTATAAAGTTGCGCGATTTGATGTGACGTCACATTTCTCAAACCCCCCCCCCGTCACGTCACACATCGTCACAAATGTCTGACCCCGCCCCCCTCCCCCTAGGTGCGTGACGTCATTTATGGACGGCCCCAATCCCGCGGGGCGAGCGAGAATTCCCGGCTCCTCCTACGCCGCCTCCTCCCGCAGCCAGTCCAGCAGCTGAGGCACAAAGTAGGTGATGACGATATCGGCACCTGCGGACACAACACAGCCAAAGATAAAGATCCCCCGTGTAGCCTCCGGCAGGACGCTGCCGGGGAAAGTGCCCGGCGGCGATGTTTTCGCACCGTAACCAGGTGAGGCTCATTTGAGGCTGAGCCGGCGTAGGGGTAGGCCCAGGACCGGTTCAGATAACCGTCGCTGGTGTGTGGCCGAGAGCGAGAATCGAACTCGGGCCACCGGATTCAGAGTGCGGCGCGCTAGCCAAGACACCGCTGCTCCCCACTCGCCCTGACTCACTCGCTCACTCGCTCACCCACTCACCCCCACTCACTCACTCACCCCCACTCACTCACTCGCTCACTCAACCCCACTCACTCGCCTACTCACCCCCACTCACTCACTCGCTCACTCACCCCCACTCGCTCACTCACTCACTCACCCCCACTCACTCACTCGCTCACTCACTCACCCCCACTCACTCGCTCGCTCACTTGCCCACTCACTCACCCCCACTCGCTCACTCACTCGCTCACTCACTCACTCACTCACCCCCACTCACTCGCTCGCTCGCTCGCTCACCCCCACTCACTCGCTCACTCACTCCCACTCACTCACCCCCACTCACTCGCTCACTCACTCCCACTCGCTCACTCCCACTCGCTCACCACCACTCACTCGCTCACTCACCCCCACTCGCTCACCCCCACTCACTCGCTCACTCACTCCCACTCGCTCACTCCCACTCGCTCACCACCACTCACTCGCTCACTCACCCCCACTCGCTCACCCCCACTCACTCGCTCACTCACTCCCACTCGCTCACTCCCACTCGCTCACCACCACTCACTCGCTCACTCACCCCCACTCGCTCACCCCCACTCACTCACCCCCACTCACTCACTCACCCCCACTCACTCGCTCACTCACCCCCACTCGCTCACTCCCACTCGCTCACCCCCACTCGCTCACCCCCACTCACTCACTCGCTCGCTCACCCCCACTTGCCCACCCCCACTCACTCACTCACTCGCTCGCTTACCCCCACTCACTTACTCGCTCGCTCACCCCCACTCGCTCACCCCCACTCACTCACTCACCCCCACTCACTCGCTCACTCACCCCCACTCGCTCACTCCCACTCGCTCACCCCCACCCCCACTCGCTCACCCCCACTCATTCACTTACTCGCTCGCTCACCCCCACTCGCCCACCCCCACTCACTCACTCACTCGCTCACCCCCACTCACTCACTCGTTCACCCCGCCCCCCCCCGGCTCCCCCCTGGCTCCTCACCGGCACGTGACAGGCAGGTGATCGCCTCCATGACGGCCGAGCGCAGCTGGAAGGCTCCGTGCGTGGCTGCGTGGTGCAGCATGGCGAACTCTCCCGACACGTGGTACACGGCCAGCGGAGTGTGCGGGTACTGCACGCAACACGCACGCACGCAGCACACACGCAACACGCACACACACACAGCACACACACAGCACACACACAACATGCACGCAGCACACACACACACGCAGCACGCACGCAACACGCAGCACACACACACGCAGCACGCACACACACACAGCACGCACGCAACACGCAGCACACACACACGCAGCACGCACACACACACAGCACGCACACACAGCACACACACACACGCAGCACACACGCAGCACGCACGCAGCACACAAACACACACAGCACACACGCACAACGCAAGCAAAGGTTGCCTTCAACGGACCGTCGGGGCAAGTGCCGTTTCGCGCGTAGCGGCGATGCCTCCTACGGAGGCCGGCACGGTGGGTTGGGTGGCACAGCGGGTTGGAGGCAGAGTACACACACACACACAGAGTACACACACACAGAGTACACACACACACAGAGTACACAGAGTACACACACACAGAGTACACACACACAGAGTACACACACACACAGAGTACACACACACACAGAGTACACACACAGAGTACACACACAGAGTACACACACACAGTGTACACACACACACACAGTGTACACACACAATGTACACACACACAGAGTAGACACACAGAGTACACACACACAGAGTACACACACACAGAGTACACACACAGAGTACACACACACACACAGAGTACACACACACAGAGTACACACACACAGAGTACACACACACACACAGTGTACACACACAGTGTACACACACAGTGTACACACACACAGAGTAGACACACAGAGTACACACACAGAGTACGCACACAGTGTACACACACACAGAGTACGCACACAGTGTACACACACACAGAGTACACACACACACACACAGAGTACACACACACAGAGTACGCACACACAGAGTACGCACACACAGAGTACGCACACAGTGTTCACACAGAGTACGCACACAGAGTACGCACACAGAGTACACACACACAGAGTACACACACACAGAGTACACACACACACACACAGAGTACACACACAGTGTACACACACACACAGTGTACACACACACAGTGTACACACACACACAGAGTACGCACACAGAGTACGCACACAGTGTACACACACACAGAGTACACACACACAGAGTACACACACACAGAGTACACACACACAGAGTACACACACAGAGTACGCACAGTGTACACACACAGAGTACACACACAGTGTACACACACAGAGTACAAACACAGAGTACGCACACAGAGTACGCACACAGAGTACGCACACAGAGTACGCACACAGAGTACACACACAGAGTACACACACACAGAGTACACACACACAGAGTACGCACACAGTGTACACACACAGAGTACACACACAGAGTACGCACAGTGTACACACACACAGAGTACACACACAGTGTACACACACAGAGTACAAACACAGAGTACACACACAGAGTACGCACACAGTGTACACACACACAGAGTACACACACAGAGTACACACACAGAGTACGCACACAGTGTACACACACAGTGTACACACACACAGAGTACACACACAGAGTACGCACACAGAGTACGCACACAGTGTACACACACACAGAGTACACACACACAGAGTACACACAGAGTACACACACACAGAGTACACACACACACACACAGAGTACACACACACAGAGTACGCACACACAGTGTACACACACACAGTGTACACACACACAGTGTACACACACAGAGTACGCACACATAGTACGCACACAGTGTACACACACACAGAGTACACACACAGAGTACACACACAGAGTACACACACACACAGTGTACACACACACAGAGTACACACACACACACAGTACACACACACAGAGTACACACACACAGTGTGTACACACACACAGTGTGTGTACACACACACACAGAGTACACACACACAGAGTACACACACACACAGAGTACACACACACACACACAGTGTACACACACACACACAGTGTACACACACACAGTGTACACACACACAGAGTACACACACAGTGTGTACACACACACACAGAGTACAAACACACACAGAGTACACACACACACAGAGTACACACACACACAGAGTACACACACACACAGAGTACACACACACAGAGTACACACACATAGTACACACACACAGAGTACACACACACACAGAGTACACACACAGAGTACGCACACAGTGTACACACACAGAGTACACACACACACAGAGTACACACACACACAGAGTACACACACACAGTGTACACACACACACATAGTACACACACACAGAGTACACACACACAGAGTACACACACACACACAGAGTACACACACACAGTACACACAC